GAATGGACCCTGAGATTCTGGAACTGTGTCAAGAAGGAAGTCATTGTGAAGTTGTTTAAAAAATGAGGCATCAGTAATGCCATGGATGGAACTGAGGATGAAATTTATCAGGATGAGGAAAGTGGCTCTTCAGAAGACACAGGTGATACAGAAAGTGAAGAAGATGATACCTCTGACATCGACAGTGACGAGGAGCTCTTGGCTTCCTGTGATGTATAAATAGTAAAGAAGTTACCAGTACATAAAATTTCTTGTATCTCTTCTTGTGTTTTCCAATTATTTGTTACATAAAATGCCTTGTACCATATGTTCAAAAAATAAATGCTGGCTGGGTATGGTGGCTCACACCTGTAATCTTAGCACTCTTGGAGGCCGAGGCAGGTAGACTGCCTAAGCTCATGAGTTCAAGACCAGCCCAATCAACAGTAAGACCCGGTCTCTAAAAAATAGCCAGGAGTTGTGGCGGGCACCTGTAGTCCCAGGTACTCAGGAGGCCAAGGCAAGAGAATCACTTGAGCCCAAGAGCTTGTGGTTGCTGTGAGTTATGACGCCACCAGATGCTACTGAGGGCAACAAAGTGAGACTCTGTCTCAAAAACTAAATAAATAAATAAATGCTAAAATTCCTTTATGCTACAAAAGACAAATACCTAAATATAAACCAACAGAAAACAGAATTTAAAAATTACGATGAAAATTTTTCTTTTCCCTGAATATTTGGACCAAAAATGTGAGTGTGCATTATACATGAGAGTAAAAATAGAGTAATTTGAAATATCGCTCTTTATTCTTAGTAGTATTTGTTCTGAAGACAACTCTTATCTGATATTAATACAGCCAATGTAGCTTTTTTGGCTAATGTTTTTATGTTATGTTTTCTCCTTCTTATTAATCTTGTATCTTTATAGAGTTGCTATCTTAAGTTAGTATGCAGTTGGATCTTGCTTTTTCTTTAAATCTGACAATCTCTTCCTTTATTTATTAATATAACTATTAATATGATTGATTTTAAATTTAAATTTATCTTCATTAAATTTGGAGAAAACATCAGCATTTCTCCATACATTCTTCTGGTTTTTCCCCTCCCCTCACACTCTACTCTGGAATTTCAGCTACATGTAAGTTATACTTCTTACTGTGTTACACAGATTATGAGTGCTTTGTGCATTATTTTTCATGTGTGCATGCGTGCGTGCATGTGTGCACTTTGAGTTGCTGCTGTGGGAAGCCTTCAGGCTCATTGATCTTTTCTTCTGTAGTGTATAATCAGCTATTTATCTTGTTTGTTAAATTTTTCATTTTCAGTAGTGTGTTTTTAACCTCCCTCCATGTTTTGTCTAGATCTCTTCTTGCACCTTTCATTTCTCTCCTCATCAAGCTGGTATTTATACCCCACCCTCTGGAACATGTAGAAGAGTTGTATCACCTACATTAACATCCTTATCTGCTAATCTCATCATCTTTGTCATTTCTAGGTCTGCCTCTGTTGACTGATTTTTTTTTTAACCTAGAGGGGTTATATAATATGCCTTTTTAAAAATACCTTGTTATTTGTGCTAGTCCACTAAATACTGTCAGATTTCTAGGAGTGGGAGATGAAGCTGTTACCCATAAGTTTGATCCTTACAAGCTTTGCTTTCAAGCATTGTTAGGGTATACAAGAACACACTTTAATGTTAAGGCAATTGAGCTCCACTTTCAAGGTGACACCATTCCAAAGACACTGTCTCATACATACCTCATGTATTGAGAGGTCTTTTATACCTCATTTATTGAGAATATGAACAATTTCTTATTCTGTGTGAGAGTTGCTTGATCTCTTGGTTTCTAGGTTATTTTTTCGGTCTTGAGTACTTTCCATTCATTCTTATGGGAATCAATACCCAGGCAACAGTTTAGGATACCACTCTGTAGATATCCAGAGTAGAGGTGGGCAAAGACTGCCCGTGGGCTAAATCTTCCATTACCTGTTGTTTGAACTGAAGTTTTATTGCAACATAGTCACACTCTTTCATTTGTGTATTTCTTTGTCTGCTTTTCCATTATAAATGTCATCAATGAATAGTTATGACAAACATCTTACTGCTTATAAAGTTCCAAATATTTATCTGCTCTTTACAGAAAATGTTTGTGAACCCCTGCTTTAGTGTTTCTCTCTATAATGATTATCTGCCCTGTAAATTACAGCCATTATTGGATACCTTAAGTCTGATTTTAGTTTCTTTGACTCTCAGGCTGTAACTGGGTTTCCTTTCCACAAATAAAAACAATAAGTAAATAAATAAAAGCAAATGAAAACTTAAATTACAAAATTACAATGAAAGATTTTTTTCGTGAAAGTTTGCACCAAAAACATTGAGTGCACATTATACACACTATTGCATTCATTATACATGACTGTATACAGACAGGCAAAAATAACACTAACAACCACCTACCTTATGGACGCATTTCCTTAAAAATGCTCCTTATATAATGTTATCAAAGTTGTTTTTGCTACAGTAACGTACACCTGCCTACCTACATGCTTATACAGTTTGTATTAGTATTTCTGGCCTAAATTTCAGCTAAATTCTTTGTAAATGTAACCAGTTAAAGGAAGATAATGTTTTACTATGCAATATGAAAACATGTTTCTAACAAAAGAAGATGAAAATACTAAGCAACCAACCAGTTTTAACTTGTTTTTCTGAATAACATCTTTGTTTTCCTTTTGATATATCTCCATTTTCTTTTTGGTGTTGTCCAAATCCACATTGTTGGTCAAGTTGAAAACTGCAACAGAAAGGAAACAATGACATAAAGTATAGTTTTAATATAAACCTTGAATAGAAAATAAAAACCAAATATTTGCACAGTGACTTCTTATTAATTGAGTTGTCATTCTTTATAGCTCTACTTGTGACCTTTAATCTGCTCTACTTTCAGCTTAACTCTAGTTATAGCAACCATGTATCCTGAGCTAAATATAAGGACTGTCCATTGAATGGAATATCTAAATATCAGGATCACTCCAGAAAACCTAAGATGTTTGTTTACCATAATCACATTAGATTTGATTTTTAGTCCCTATTCTAACTTAAAAAGTATACACAAAAGATTGTTCAAATTTTTTAAATAAAATTAGTAAACCTGGGATGTACTATAATTCTCATCAAAACTGAAAAGAAACTGAGCTCTAAAAATAGAAAACTAATCCAAAAGAATAAAAAATCATATGTTTGTATAATTTATATTAAAGAAAAAAAGAATTATTCACATTCTAATTTTCTCCAACATGACTAAACACAGTTGAATTATTTTCCATGTAATCTAGATCTCGGAAAGTATCACACAGAAAAGAGTTGAAACTTAAGATGGAAAGTCATGGATAAAGGAGCACCAAAATTTACAGTAAAATAATTTCTTAAGAGAAGCCACTGAGATATGTTCAGATACTGATAAATTTTCACTGAGATAGAATTTTCTTTTTATAATTCTAACTCAAAATAATTTGAATTTTAAATGTAATACTGCCTTCTATGTTTATATATACAAATCAAAAGTTTACTATAATACTCTAAACAAAAAGAATTTTTTAATCTCTTCTGAACTCATACATTATTACAAAGCACTGCCCCACTACCCTATATAGTTAGCATTAGCCTGTACAAAAAAGAATCCATATCTATAAGACTTTCCTGTTCCATAATTCAGTTCAGGCCTCCCTCAACTTCCCCTGCAACCTTTCCCCACAGGTTATTAGCCCTTTTACCCCTTCTACCATTACTTGCCATTGCTTCCTGTCCTAAAACAAGATGAATCTACACTCTATAGCTCTGCTCTATCCCCTAGGTTCCTACAGATTGACATATTCATATACTGATTTCTTATAAAGCTAAATATATTCTACCATATAATCCAGCAATCAAGCTCCTTAGTATTTATCCAAATGAATTGAAAACTACTATCCATACAAAAATCTACACATGGTTACAACAGCTTTATTCATAATTGCCAAAAGTGGGAAGCAACCAAGATGTCCTTCAATAAATTGATAATAGAATATTATTGTTAAAAAGAAATGAGCCAACTTTAAAAAATACACACACACACACAGAGTTAAAAGATCAATGTTGCCAAGGCTAGGGAAGGATGAAAGGAAGAACACAGAGGATTCTCAGGACAATGAAACAACTCTGTATGATACTATAATGCTTATCATTTCTCAAAACCAAGAGAATATAAAAGTAATTAAAAGGAACCATAATGTAAACTATGGACTTTGTGTGTTAATGACAGGCTAATGTAGGTTCACTGATTATCACAACATATGACTCTGATGCAGGATCCTAATAGTGGGAAAGGGTATACATGTATGGGAGTAGGAAGTATAGGGGAACTGTTTATACTTCCTGCTCAATCTTGCTGCCAACATAAAATTGTTTTTAAAAAACTTCCCATCTGGTAAGAGTTCAAAAAAATTCTTGTTAAATTATTATGAGAGACAAAAAGTAAACTAATACTAAAATTTATAATTATTAATGCTCTTATAATTATTGATTCAATTAAAACTTTTACAATTACAGACTTGAAAATCGCAAAGTTTGTAAGATTGAAAACTAAGGAAGAGATATTTGTAGTTTCTTTTTTATTTTTTCTTTGAGACAGAGTCCTACTACATCACCCTCGGCAGAGTGCCGTGATGTCACAGCTCACAGCAACCTCACACTCTTGGGCTTAAGCAATTCTCTTGCCTCAGCCTCCCAAGTAGCTAGGACTACAGGCACCAGCCACAACGCCCAGCTACATTTGTGGTTTCTTATGGTATGAATCCACTAAAGTAAAGGTTTTCAAATTGATATTACAGCAATTTTTTTTAAAAGCCCGCCATTTACTAGAAAATGATAAAGTTACTACTGATTAAACTTTCCTAAAAAATGACTATAATCCAGCACTCTAGGAGGCCAAGACAGGTAGATGGGTTGAGCTCAGGATTTCAAGACCAGTCTGTGCAAGAGCAAAACCCCATCTCTAAAAATGGCTGGGAGTTGTAGCAGGAGCCTATGGTCCCAGCTACTTGGGAGGCTGAGGCAAGAGAATTACTTGAGCCCAAGAGTTTGAGGTTGCTGTGAACTGTGATGCCATGGCACTCTACCAAGGATGACAAAGTAAGACTCTATCTCAAAAAAATAAATAAATAAAAATAAACTTTCCTAAATAGAACCCAGAAATAATCTTAAAATCTAAGTGAAATTAATCTCTTTATATACAATTTTTATGCTTATTTAAAACTTCATGATGAATTTCAATAAAAGTAAATAGCAATTTGTTTCATGTTTTTAATAGAAAGCAAAGGTAACAGTAATGTAATAGGTACAAATCACAATCATAGATAATGCAAGCCTCTTCTTTTAAAAAGAAAAGAATCGTAATAGTGAATTACTATACATTTAAAACTTTTCAGATCAAGCCTCATTCATACCATAATGAATCAAGTTGGTATAATAGCCTAGAAGAAAAAGAAATGGAAGCTAATTTTCTATAACAATCACTTGACCCTTTCTCCACTTACTGATTTAGCTTAGATGTTGACCTGCCTTTAGCCAAGTATTAGAAGCAAACAAAAAACCATTGTATTTTCTGAAAGATTTAATGTTAAAATTTAAGTACAATTTTGAAGTCTTTGATCTCTAGAATTTATAATTAAAGCCCTTAGGACTTTCTCACCCTTTTCAAATAAGTATTCTCTACACCAAAAGAATAATCTATTTATTATAAAACTAAGAACAAATGTTTGAGATAATTCCTAAGGCCATAAGGAAGAATATTCATGTATAGATTGTCCTAACCACAGAAAAGAATCTATTGTTAATGCCATCAAAAGTGCATCTTCATATATGTCCCTTCTAATTGTAAATTTCTGATGTCATCATTTGAAATTATAATTTTCAATTTTTATACTTGTGATGTCCAAAGGATTCATGACTTATATAACAAAATAATCTCAATCTCCAATTTATGAATCCTCAAATGTTGATCTCTCAGAGGCACCCTAATAATTATAGTCCTCTCATTCTAAGCTTAAACATCTTCAATAGTACCCTTCTACTTATAAGGTCAAGTTCAAACTCCTTAAATATCCTCCAAAAATATAGCCCCAACCTACTTTTTTTCCTCTCATCTCTATCCCACAGAACCCCACGTTCTAGACTCAGACTATTAACTTTTCTCTTAGCCTACCAAATACTTTCATGGGCCTGAGAGAAAGAAAAATCTAAGTTTTCAAATTTTACAATTTGTCTCCATTATTTACTAGCAATATAATGCTGGGCACAATACCTAAGCTGTCTCTTAGAGTTTTGAAAATTTTATGAGATAATGTGTGTACAGCTCAGTCTGGTACTTAGCAAGCACCCATTAAATTAACATTTTATACTTTTGATTAACACAAAGAGTCATACAGATATCACAAACATTTAATGACTCATCTTTAAAAGTATGAAAAAACACAAAAGTAGAAAGCTATTGAAAGAAGATTTAAAAGGCAGTTTTTCATAACAAGCAGAACAATGCCACACAATTAAGCAGTGGAGCCACACCCTAACAAAACTTAAAAGGTCTAAAATCACAGTCTACCTCATTCTTCATTTCTGCACACTCCCCACCCAACAGAACAAAATAAAAAATACTGCCTGTTTTCCAGCCTAATATTATTATCTTGATTAATACCATACAAGTGTTTCATCCAGGCCAGGTCCTAATTTGTTAATTCATCCTTGCTTATTCTAATTCACATCCTATATCAAATCAGTTTCCTGACTATTCTAAAACATTCCCTTTGTCTGTCACCATTGTTAGTATCTACTCTTAAGTCCCTATTATTTCTCATCCAAATTATTATAATGGTCTCTTAAAAATGGTCTTCCAATCTGGGCATAGTAGAGGATTTGGGGAGGCCAAGGTGGGAGGATGCCTTGAAGTCAAGAGTTTGAGACCAGGCTTGGCACCTGTAGCTCAGCAGTTAGGGCTCCAGCCACATACACTGAGGCTGGTGGGTTCGAACCTAGCCCAAGCCTGCTAAACAAACAAACAAACAAACAAGAAACACAGCTGGGCATTGTGGCGGGCACCAGTCGTCCCAGTTATAAGGGAGGCTGGGGCAGGAGAATCGCTTGAGCCCAAGAATTTGAGGTTGATGGCTGCTTTAAGCTGTGATGCTGTGGCACTCTACCAAGGGTGACATAGTGACATACTGAGACTCTGTCTCAAAAAAAAAGAGGGCGGCACCTGTGGCTCAAAGGAGTAGGGCACCGGCCCTGTATGCCAGAGATGGCGGGTTCAAACCCAGCCCTAGCCAAAAAAACTGGAAAAAAAGAAGAGTTTGAGACCAGTCTGAGCAAGAGCAACACCCCATCTCTATTAAAAATAGAAAAAGTTAGCTGACTACAGTGGCATGCGCGGGAGGAGAGTTGAGGCAGAAGGATGGCTTGAGCTCAGAAGTTTGAGCTTATAGAACTAGAATGACACCACTGCACTCTACCCAAGGCAACAGAGTGAGATCCTGTCTCAGAACAAAAATAAAAACAAAAACAAAAAAGATGGGTTTCCCAGCCTTGACTACCTCCTCTTGGCCACAGAATAAAATGTTAACAACCCATTAAAAGCCCTCCTTTTTTTTTAACTTAAAATTTTAAGTTTAATTGATGAATAACAGCTCGATAGCTCTCACTCGCGCTCGCTCTCTCTCTCTCTCTCTCTCTCCCTCCCTCCCTGCCTTCCTCCCTCCTTCCCTC